CTGAGGAGAACATGTGGCTTGCAGCAGGATGATGGAGACGGAGGGAGGAGGACAGAGTCTGGAGAGAGCTGGGAGGTAAAATGCAATACGACTGATAGAAGCAGTAGCAGCAGCCAGCATTTACTGCAAGCCAGGCCCTGTGGCTTGGGGCTGCCCACATATTACCTCAGTTAATCTTTGCATCAACTCGAGGTTAATTCTATCATGATCCCCATTTAGTGGGGGAGAAGCTGAGGGACTCTGACTAGGAGATGCTTGGTTTGTGTCTTTTATTACTGGGAGGGGAGCTGGGGGGGGTTGGGGTACCATTCAAATACATGAGGACCCCTGTAAAAGGAATATGGGAGGGAGAAGAACACTGAATGGGGGACCCTTGGGGTGGCTGGGAAGAGAACACACACCCTTCTCCACTGTCTCCTTCACACGTCACCATGACTCAAAGTGAGGCCCTGGCCTGGGGCAGTGGGCTCTGGGGGCCAGCTTCCTAGGAAGCCCCTGACAACAGCTCTGTAGCCCCTCTCTCCACACGCCAAGCCAACACTCCAAGAGCCCTGAGTCAGCTGCACCCAAGGGAGGAACAGAAGTCTCTGGCTGGGCTCTTCATTCCTGCTACCAGATGCACATCCTTCCCAGGGAGTTGAAGGGGGAGTCAGGGCTGCATCAGGTCCCAAAGAGGTGGGGACATGCAAAGAAATACCAGGCAAAGGGTGAGATGGAGGTGGGGCTTCTCCAGCTTTAGGACCATTGGCACTTCTTCGACATTTGGAAGGTCAAGCAACTCTGGGGGACAGATGTCATCACATACGCGCACGCACACACACCCTACACACAAACTAGAGGCACTCTCTGGCCTGCAGGTTAGGGACCACTATTGGCCCAAATAATACAGAGTTCGACATTTGGAAGGTCAAGCAACTCTGGGGGACAGATGTCATCACATACGCGCACGCACAAACACCCTACACACAAACTAGAGGCACTCTCTGGCCTGCAGGTTAGGGACCACTATTGGCCCAAATAATACAGAGAATGATGCTCCTGGTGATGACATGCAAATTACAGACGAAAGCCAAGGGCCTCAGAACTGAGCTGGCCCCCACGGAGACAGGAGGGCAGGTTTCAAGCCAGGGCTGCCCTAGGCTGTCTCAATACACCTGTCTGCTCCCAAACCTCTAGGACTTTGCAAAAGAGGACTGCCTGTCCCCTGCTCTCTGCCTAGCTAACTCCTATCTGCCCCTCAAATTTGCCCCAGCATTACCTCCTCTCATGGCCCCAGGAAGCCCCTTCGCAGCCCTCACTGCATAGTATCATCATCATCCTTATCTTGTGTGTGTCTGGGGCACCAACACCCCAGAATACAAGTAAGTTGGCTCCTCCTGTCCCAGTTTGCTCCCCGCCTCTCACCTCCTCAGGCTGGTGTCCAAGAGAGCACAGGAAAGGGGGCCAGGGAAGGAGCTGCTCCAGCTGGCAGTGTCACCCTGGGGAGCTCAGATGGGACCTCTCGCCCCAGCCAAGTAGCCTCTATCTTCCAGGGCCAACACCAAGTCCCGGAGTTGGAGGCAGCTCCTCAGCAAAGGTGACCTCACCACCCAGCCCAAGCACCAACAACTGGCCTGGGCTGCAACAGTGTTTCTACTGAGGATGGCAAATGTCCTCAGCAAGGTAGTTCAGGAGTCCCAGGAGGTCAGGGCAGCAGGCAGGAAGCTGCTCTGGAATTTCACCTTCCTCGAGGGACACTCACACCCAGGCCACACAAGGGGCTCTCTCACATGCAAGCACACACAGAAACACTGATGCACACGCCCAGGGCCTCACACACACTGTCACACATAGTCTCCATCATACACACAGCCTCACATACACACAGTTTGTCACATACACCCCTCTCCCCGCACAGATATGCCTCCTGCACAGATGGTCTCATGCACACAGCCTTACACACACACATATACAGTTTCACACTTGCCACACTGTACAATACACTTACACAGAGACACACTCACCTTGAATTTCTCACATACTCTCAGAATCTATCTTGCACACACTCTCTCCCACAGTCTTATTCTCACACATACACAAAGTCCATCTCTCAAAACACGCAGAATCGGTCTCTCATGTTCACACAGAATTTCTGACACAGGCACTCACAAAATGTCTCTCACAGAGTCACAGTCTCAGCACACACACACACACACACCCAGAGTCTCACTCACACATATTTTTATTCTCACACACAGTCTTTCTCACACCAGCACAGAATCTCTCTTACACAGATTCTCTCTCACACATACAGCTTTTCTTTCACACACATATACAATGTCACACCCATACAAGATTTGGATCTAGAATCTAGAACAAAAATTTAAATTCCCACCCACCAATTTGAGGCTGCTTGGGGCCCCATGGGGGGAGGGGTAAACAAAGGGTGACAGCAGCAGCGGCAGAGCAGCGATGGAGGGGGAGGAGGGCGGGCAGACGGCTGGACTCTGCGCAGATGAGCTGCAGAGAGGCAGCGCAATGCAGCTAGGCCAGCCGGAGCAGGCAGCAGGAAGCCTGGGTTCTAATCCTGGCTCTGCCTTTACGTTCATGTGCCCTTGGGCAGGTCCCTCCCCCTATAGGCCTCAGTGTCCTCATCTGTTACCCAAGGGAGTTGGAAGGGACTACAACCTTTCTGTGAGGCCACTGGGGAATGAAAGTGGCACGGACGGGCTGGGGGGTGATACCTACTAACACCCACCTGCATCCCAGTATCCCCCACCCCTGCTGTCACCCCTGACTGCCCAGCTTTTCATCTGGAGTCTGCTCTTCAATGGACATTCCCCTGAGAGATTTTTTTCAAGACTTCTCTGTATGGTTTTGTACACCAACCACATCTCAAACCACACTAGGGGTCCCATTTGTCTGCAATGGGTGAAGGCCACCCCACAATCTAAGAATGTTCAGTGGGAGGAGATGGACAGGGGAGGGGGCTGGAATATGCCCCACTGACCCCTGCCTGCCCTGAAACTCAAGGACACTGAGTTTCAAGAGGTGGGGTAGAAGGACCTGGCCTCTTGCTAGGGAGCCAGGAGGCTGAGATTACAGTGAGAAGATGGGCCTGCCCCTTGCTTCCAGGGCCAAGGTTGGGGAAAGAGGGAATGCTGTCCAAGGTCAAATGTGGGCTGAATGGGCAGCTGCTGTAACCCAGGCCTTTGCCCAGCTTGCCCCCCACCCACCCCAACATGTGCTGGTTCAACCTCCCAGTCCCCCCCCAGCCCCTCCCCACAGCTCAGCCACAGCCTCCAGTTACATAATCCTCTAGCTGTGATGGCCTCTGTCAAGAAAGGGGAGGGGAGAGGAGGCACTCTGAGGGTCCCGATCCACTCTGGCGAATGGCAGGGAGCTGAAAGCCAGCTCAGGGGAGGATAGGGTCCCAGGAGACTTAGATTCTAGTTCTGCTTGGCCTCCAGCTCCCTGGGTGACCTTGGGCAGGGTTCTCAGTGGCAGAATGAGGTGCCTGGCTCTCTCCCCATTATCCCCGCCATCACACACACACCTGTTCTAGGATTCAGGGCAGAAGACTGACCTGCTGACCCTCCCTCACATGCCTTACTGTGTTCTATCTCAGAAACAAATCTAACAGGTCTGTGCCTCTACAGACTTTCTCTGCCATGCGCTCCTCAGGGCCCCTTAGTCTCCTCCCTCCACTGACCCTCTGCAGAGTCCTGGCCCTCCCCAGCCCCAGCCCCCTGGCTCTTGCTTGGGCACCAGTGGGCAGGAGGGAAGGGATGTGCAGGACAGTAAAAGGCAGCAGGGCAAAGGCAGTGCTTTGCCTGGTAGGGGGTGGGGCTGGCTCACAGATGGGGGAGGGGCTCTGCTTTAAATTTCTAACTCTGCCCCTCCCCCGCATGCCTTGAGCTTTCTTCAGGCCTCTGAGGACAGAGCTCAGCAAAGGCCAAGAGTATCTCTTCCAGAGTGGGTGACTGCTACCGGTCTTTCTTTTGGGCTCAGTTAGTGATGGTCCTTAGCAGCAAAGGTCCTTAGAACTCACCAGACCCACTCCCCCATTTTACGGATGAAGAAACTGATCCAGAGAGGCCATCTGAGGGGCCAAGGTCAGCAGCAGGGTGTCCTTTCTCTCTGGCAACAAGCTGCTGTCACTGAAGGTGAGTGGCCGATGATGACACGCCCACTTCTCACACACCTTCTGCTTGCACTGTCCCCCTTTATGTCCCCCCTTCTCTGCCCCTGGAAAGGTCCCAGAGGAAGGGCAGGTATAAGCGCAGTGACCTTCTACAACACCCTCTCCTTTTGACAAGGAGGAAGGACAGACTGATCCCAGGTCTCAACAGAATCACCATCCCCCTACCTAGCAGCCTAGTCCTACACCAACTATCAAGCTATTAATTAGCGTGAAGATTCCCCCTTGACCATCTCCTCAGAATGGCCTGAAGCTGCTCCCTGGGGAGGGGGTGGTCTGTCTCAAGCAGCCAGGAAGGTCTCAGGTCCTCCCGATGGGCCCTATCTGGCTCCAGACGCCCCTTACCTGGGATGGAGGAAGGGCTCCCAGCTGCCCTCCCCACACCAGAATCTAGAGGGCAGTTCACACCTTCCCAGTGTACATCTGCAAAGATACAAATGTGCACAAACAGGTGCCCATGCACACTCAAACATGCACACATGCTCGCTCATTCTCACTACATACTTTACCCACCCAAATATACACCACCACGCTTACATAAATATGCACACGCCGTCTACTCATACACACAAGCACACCCATTCATACTCATACATATTAAATTCGGCAATACAGACCCAGATTCTTACATACATATAAAACCAGACACCCTTGCAAAGAGTCACCCTTTCTCTCTCTCACGCACGTACACGTACACATACACACCCCCGTTTCAGTTCTGAATTCCCTAGGCGCCAGCTCTCGAGTCCACCCTCGCCCGCGGGAGGCAGAGGACGCTGCCTTCCCCGCCCGCTCTTCTGATGGGTAAGTTGCCACTTACCCGCGCGTAGCGGGACGAGTAGGGGTCCTCGAAGAGAGCCCAGATGCGCGGCTGCCAGCGGCGCCAGAAGCCGCCCGGCCGGCCATCCGGGGAGTCACTGAGCGCCAAGCGCTTGGTCATCTCCAGTTCGTCCTCACCGTCGCCCGAGTCTCCGGGGCCGTCGGCGTCCGCGTCGTCGGCGCTGTTGTCCAGGGGCGCGCCGCCGAAGCTGTCGAGCGCCTCCTCGGCGTCGCGGTGCTGGCGGTACGTCATCCAGCAGCAGGGCTCCACGTCGGTCTCGTCGATGCCCCAGAAGGCCAGCTCCTCCTCGTAGAGCGGCCCGCACACGTCGGCCGGGCAGTGCAGCTTGCCCGTGCGGTAATAGTTCAGGATGTGAGCGAAGACGCCCGGGTGGCGGTCGAAGAAGAACTCGTCGGCACGCGGGTCATAGTCGAAGTGGCTGTGGGCGTCGGGCTCAGCCAGCCAGGCGAGCCGCGTGCCGGGCAGCGTGCGCAGCGTCGAGCGGTACGTCTGGTGGCGCGTGCCGCCCACGTTGATCACGATGCGCTCGCTCTCGTCCCCTTGGCCCATCGCGGCGCCCCCTTAGGCATGGCGCGGCCCAGCGACACCCATGGGAGCGGCCGCCAGGGGGAGTTGGCGCCGGGGAGGGGGGCGCGTGGCCTCCTCCCCCCTCCCCCCAGCCGTCGTGGGGGACAGAGGACCGCGGCTCTGGCCACCCTAACGAGCGACCCAAGCCCCTCGGGGCGCTTTCTGCGGAGTGTCGGTCCAGGGGAGTGCGCGCGGGATCCCTAGGGTGTTTAGGCGCCAGATGTGGGAGGGAGCTGGTCCGGCTGCGGAGGAGGCAGAGGAGGAAAGCGGAGAGGGAGAGAAGGAGGCAGGGAGGCAGGGAGGGGGGCGGCGCTCAGCGGCGGG